GGTGGCCGCGAAGCGATGGGGCTGAGCAGACGCAGTTAAATTTACATGCTGTGCCACTGCTGACGCGCTGGCACCCGTCACCCAGCCACCCGCGGCTGCGCTGAGCAGCCCCGAGTGCAGCAAAACCCTCTCACAACCATCGTTTCCTGTGTTTCCTTGGCTGCTGCTCACGTCTCCTGGAGCAGTGAATCTTTGCTGCCCTTTGGTTTAATCACCCCAAAGCTCCGACACGTGTCTGATGCAGAAAAGCACATTTCCGGGTTGGTTTGGGGCTAAACTGTTCTTTCATCTCGACTAGTGCAATAGGACAGCCCCACGCTGTGTGTTTTACCAGCAGCTGAAGGATGTGTTTATATGACATCCTTTATTATCTGCTTGAAATAACTCCAGAGGCCAACTACAATGGCCAATTAGAGACTATGGAGAACAAAGTCTGGCTGATGGGGACAGGGATGGAAGAAGTTGAAACCAGGGATTTGGGGGTGCAGGAAGGAAGCCAGTCCCTGTATCCCAGTGTCTGCACTTAAATGTAGCCCAAACCCTGCTGGTTTGGCCCTGCCCAGCCTCCTGGGAGGGAGCAATCCCTGGTTGCACCATCAGCCCCTGCTCCTGACCCTCTGCTCCAGCATCCCAGAGGACACTGGGCTGGGGCCAGTGAAGCTCACAGCAGGGCAATGCCATGTCCCTCAGCTGCCAGCAAAGGACCCCAGTAAGAGCATCCCCCCGTTCCCTGGGTACCAGGATCCCTTTAGGAAACCCCAGCCTTGCCCCTTTCCGCTCTGCACCCCGATCTTCCCCTATCTGGACCTTTCTGCAATGACCACCACAAGGAGCCACTCAGCATCCCAGCACCCCCAAATCCCAGCTGGAAAGATACATCCCCACAGCCCATTTTGCGCCCCATCCCCATGGATGCAGCCATGCACCCACCGCCGCAGACAAACAGCAGACTCTGCTGGGGCCAAAGAGGGGTGAGGTTCCACATCAGATCTCCCCCTGAGAAGGGGAGGTGTGGTGGGAGGAGACGAGTAATGAACCACAAGCTCTACATTGGATTTTATTAAGCAAGACGGAGTTTCAACAGCAAACCCACACATAGAAAGAGCCTTCGGCTGTGTGGCTCCCTGCCCTCGCATCCCACAGCTCTGCTCTCTGGCTGCTGCCTGTCTGGAGCCCTGGTTAATTAACCCAGACAAGCAATCAGCAACCAGACACTGCACAAGCAGCCATCGTTTCTGCACTCTCAGGATTCAGCTCCTTATTCCCAATCACATCATTTTGTTGCCCAAGGAAGGGATGATTCCTACTGGAAACCCAGCACAAGCACGTGGATTTCAGCATTTTTGATGGCGGATGACTATAGGGAGACATGGCAGATCAGGATCAGCTCTTGAACAGCCAATCCAGCAGGGATAATACCCAAAGGTATTTCCCTGCCTGTTCCTGTGGGCATGCAATCGCACACAGCTTAGTCTCCAAGGCATGAGGCATACCCGGATACCACTTAGGCACCAGCAGAGGATGGGATGTCCCTGTTGCACACACCAAACCTGCCCCTGGGCTGCTCTGTAAATCACTGCTTTATCGCCAGTCCAGGGCAGCCCCAAGACTTTAAGCCTTGATCTTGCCAGGGAGGGTTAGAGGAAGGATTTACCTACACAGCCCTAGAGCTGCAGAAGGCCAAGGCAGACATTTGCTGCAGTGTGTTGTAAAGCAGCTCCATCCCCATGCCAACATTTTGGAGCATCAGTACCTGAGTACGGCTGCCATGGGAACCAACCCAGCCTTGCCATCCATCCCTCCACCGAGTCACCAACAGCAAAAAGGAGCAAGTTTTATCACAGCACAGGGAGGTGCCACTTGGCCTCCACGAACACGAAGGTGCCAGCTCTTGGCAGGAGAGATCTCAGCCCTCGGGTCCATGTGGCTGGAAGCAGAGCCACGCTGTGCTCCCGGGCAGGAGGAGATGGAGCGCTCGGGGGTGGTGCTGTCTGCCAATGGGGATCTCCTGTCCCCCCCCGTAGCTGAGCTCTCACACACGAACGGCCGGGGGAGGGAAGATGCCGATCTCCTCCCGCAGGGATTCCACAGGCTGCTCCCAGCGCTGCTCATAGTACACGTTGAGGACGCAGCTGGCGTTGCGCCCGCTCCGGATCGCCCAGGGAACCAGCTCGGTGGCCAGGACCTGCAGCTTTCTGGAGCAAACGATACAGGAGGTGACAGTTCTGATTTCCAGGTTCTGTTGTTGTTTTCCTCCTCCAAGTCCCCAGTGCAGGCTGATGCCAAACCCATGTGTCCCACGTACGCTCCTGCTTAACTCACAGGGGAAACTAAGGCACTGAAGCGGACACTGTGCCAGGAAGGTTAATGTCAACAGCAAACCCAGGACCAGAACTCAAGTTCTGCAACCCCCAAACTGTGCTGGGCCGCCAGAACAGATGTGCTACGGGAGGGAACGGCCATCAGTGTGCTGAGGGTCCTGCTGGCCCTCAATACGCGCCCAGCCAAGGCCAGCCAGGAATGGGCATTGCTGATCCTCCCCAGAA